ATTTAGGTCTGCTAGGATGAATTTTTGCATTTGGCAGGGATTGATATCATTTTTCATGTGTTATGTGTTGGTAAATATTGCTGTTTATTGCTGAATACTTTTATATGGGTATTGCATTGTGCTTTGTTGCGCTCATTTAGTAAAAAGCTAAAAAAATATATCAGAAAACTACATTTTACTGAGTGTCTATTAAATGTAAATCGCCCATCTTATTGGCAAAGACAATTGGATTAACTCTGCCCTGTATGTCTGTAATAGTGGGAATAAAGTATTTAATAGGTATTTAATAAATTGAAATTGTATGTGGTGTCCCTGCATTGAGCAGACTGGCAGATCAACTGCTACATGTGCAGCTCATATTGTCACCATGCTCAAAACTGTGGCTCACTTTCAAGACGTATGAAGACACCTACTGTATAGTAGGTTCAATATGATTAGGGTTATGGGTAGGTGTAGGCTTAGGCTTTAGGGACAGAGACAATAAGGTCCCAATCAGGCAGCATCCATTTATGATTTTAATAAATATACACTTATAATGTTGTTATTGCATACTGTTTAATAATTTGCTATACATACAGTGTAGTACAATAGCATCTAACACTACTTGCACTTAGTGTAAATGGCATCCATCTACTATTTACACTTAGTGCTTAGTACACTGATTGTAAATAATGCGCTTGGCTAAATTCTAGTTATATATCTCCCAGCCCCAACAGACAGGCAGTCAGGTATCATCCATGAGCATTATTCCGACTCTAAAAAGGGATAAGAAATGGTGGGGTGCCAGTATGATATCAAAATTGACCCTATTTACTTTTTAATATACAGTGCTGGTGTTATTGTTCATGATTCATTTGCTTCGGAATCTTTTATCAGAATAATTAACTTGCTCTTGCTCTGAAATGACTTTCCTTTTCCACTCTTTTCATTAATCCATTTACTTTTCAACCCCTCCCCTCCAACCACCTGGCTTCATTCTGATTTGAATAACAACCATTTCTCATGAGCCAATCCAATCAAAAATAGATAAAATAAAGTCTCGCCCTACATTCATTGAATTTCCTCTTTCATTTGGAAATACGTCACATGGTTTTCGCATTAAATGTTATAAACCTTTATTGAGAGCATTCACATAACAAAACGAATAATTCCCGCATTTTCACATGTGTGTTTTCTGAATCACCATATTTGTTTACTTGTTTCTGATTTGCTATTTTATACTGGGAACATGTGTCAAGGCTGATGAAGCCGCAGCACCAACAAAACAGTGACGAATCTGCTGCACCATATTAGAGCTCAGTGAATTAACAGAGTAGGTCCTTTGGGAGGGAATTGTGAGACCTTCCAACACTTATATATTCACTGAAACTACAGTACTCGCAATTACCTTTGTTCTTTTGAGATTCTCTGAGGAAGGGAATTGCCATCTAGCAGGTAACCCAGGCAGGGATTTAAAAGTCTTCAAGGCATATCACATATGCAAATACTTTTAATAGAGTGTAAATAAAAAAATTATTGGTGTGAGATATATAGTCCCTATTGATGCGCACCTAGAATGGATCCTGTGATTTGTTTTCTTTAGTAGAATATGGCTTTTATCTTGCGTATTATTTGGAAATAAATATTTTTTTCTACATACTCAAGAAATTAATGTTTAATAGTACAGCGAGTAAATGGTCTTTAAATGCATGAAGGCGAAGAAAGTTGGATGAGGATCAAAATTATAGTGAACTTCATTTGGACAACTTTAAAAGCGATTTGATCAATATTCTGATTTTTTTGCACCCTCAGATTCCAGATTTTCAAATAGTAGTATCTCGACCAAACATTGTCCTATCCTAACAAACCATACATCAATGGAAAGCTTATTTATTCAGCTTTCAGATGATGTACAAATCTCAATTTCGAAAAATGTACCCTTATGACTGGTTTTGTGGTCCAGGGTCACATATATGTTACTTATAAGACAAAATAGAATTTTCCTACATGTACATTCTCTGGGTAGATTTGTCAGGGTTCTGTCACTTTGGTCTTTTTTATGATTGATAAAGATGAAGATGTAAGTACATAAAATAAAAATTGCATATATGTTATATATGCAACTTTATTAAATCAACATATACAAAAATATGCATGTTATGTATTAGTGGTCAACTGATTATCGGCACCGATATAAAGCATTTTTATGGTTATCGGTATCAGTCATTTTTAAAAACTGATTTGCCGATAAAATCATTTAAAAGCATTTAAAGAAGGTTTTTGTCACAGCCCTTGTTATCCTTAATTTTGACATTAATTTTCATTTTTACACCAGACATATGCAGTATATCAGTTCAAAATATCAGTTATTGGTCTACCATGTATTGGTGGGTTTTAGGTTGCATATATATATATATA